AATGGCTGATTATACTCATAGCAGACTGAAACGACAAGAAACCGCTCGACGTTTCCGATTACTTCAGCACTTACTAGACAAACGTTCTAAACTTCCAATTAATTACAAAAGACTCATATACTTCATTATAATAAGGCCTATTTGTAATTACGGAGTTGAGCTATGGGTTTCCACGAAACCATCGAATTCCTCTCGTATTCAATCCTTACAATCCAAAATCCTTTGTAAAATCCTTAATGCTCCCTACTTTGTTACAAATAAAACCATCCATAATCATAATGACCTTATGTTTCAGATCTGGCCCAATCCAGATACCTATCCTTCCATAATAAACTTCAGAATCATCTCAACCCTCTCGTTTCTAACCTTCCTCTACAATTCTTGACAACCGTCCGAGGCGTCTGAAAAAAAGATGGCCTCGTGATCTCCTAATGTAGACATATCATTAGAGTGCTACCATTGGGTAGTTTTTTAACAAGTGTTTTCACGTCATTATATCCATATGTTCAAATTTATCAAATCTATTGCTTTAATTTTGTTGTAAATATCATTAAGAAATAATGAAAAAAAATTTCTGATTATCTATATTGACTGCTGTAAATTGGTTCCCGTATTCTCCATGGTATTTAAATTTTGAAATATTTTAATCCATATGTTCCATAAAAAACAGTTATCATTTGTTTTTCGACTTTTTTTTCCTACCTTTTTGCCTCACTAGCACGGCGTGGCGTTGAACTAGTTTCGAATAATAGCTCATTACAAAGAGGACGAAATTCTGAAAAATCCCCTCTCTAATAGGATGCAGATGATATTTTTAGTTTTTGAAATATGTTAATCTATATATTCAACAAAACTCGTTATCATTAGGTTTTCAACACTGTCCTTTTTCCTTTTTGCCTCTCTAACACGACATCATCTTAGGATACAATATTGAATACTAGATCACAACAAAGATGACGAAATGCTATAAATTTCCTATTCTTACAATACGCATGTCGGATATTTATTTTGTGAGATATTTTAGTCCAAAAGTTTAAAACAGACGTTATTATTTGTTTTGGGACTGTCTTATTCCATTTCTGATATTCTAATTCGGCGTTACGTCAAAATATAATTTTGAATTATAGCTCATTAGAAGGAGGATGAGATGCTGAATATTTCCTTCACTTACAGTATGCAGGTCCGATTTTTAGTTTGTGAGATATTTTAATCCATATGCTAAAATACTTCAATTAGTCGACTTGTACCGATCATACCCGAATGAGCGTTACATATCCGAGCGTGACTGATCATTATCATTCACTACCTCCCCCCCCAAAAAAAGTGCAATGCGGACATAACAGTTTTCACTCAAAAAGTATCGATACATCGATATTTTTTTCCAAGACTCTTCCTACAGAGCACTAAAGACAGAATGACCTTTGAATCGATTGAAGCTAGCGTTATGTTGCATCACCTCCACCCCCCTAGGATATTACTAATTCGGTCTGCCCTTTTAGCTGACCTACCGATATTTTATCTCTTTGGTTGCAATCATTTAAATTGATATATTTTTTTTAATCTCAGAAAAAAAAATTAATTAATTACTAATAATCTAAGTATAAACATATTTGAGAATTAGAAAATACATTAACGGACTCATACCAGACTGAAACGACAAGAAACCGCTCGACGTTTCCGATTACTTCAGCACTTACTAGACAAACGCTCTAAACTTCCCATTAATTACAAAAGACTCATATACTTGACTATAATAAGACCTATTTGGACTTACGGAGTTGAGCTTTGGGGCTCCACTAAACCATCGAATTCCTCTCGCATCCAATCCTTACAATCCAAAATCCTTCGTAAAATCCTCAATGCTCCTTACTTTGTCACAAATAAAATAATTTATTAAGACCTTCCAATGTTCCATATGTTTCAGATCTGGCCCAATATAGATACCTATCTTTCCATAATAAACTTCAGAATCATTCCAACCCTCTCGTTTCTAAACTTGCTTCCTCTTCAATTCCTGATGAACCCCCGAGGCGTCTGAAAAGAAGATGCCCACGTGTATACACATATAATTAGAGTGCTACCAATGGGTACTCAACAAGCGTTTTCATGTGATTATATTCCTCTGTGCACATTTACTTGATGTATTTATAATAATACAGTTGTAAATATTACAAATAAATACAAAAAAAAAATATTGTTTATGTTTATGTTATTTCATTTTATTTACGTTTTGATTATTATTTTGCTTGTTTTTTTTTTTGTTTTTTTGTGGATATCCTGTGAATTTGATGTTTATCTCCCTATAACCATTGTACACGTGTCAGAATGTTGCAATATATAACAAATAAACAAAGAAGGATATATAACTATTTCATAATAGGTTACAGCGTGTTATAGTCAGTTTTTGTTTTGACTTCAACTTAAACTAATCCTGGAAGAACAAATGCTCGAACGACTGTAATGTAAATTAATTCACTTGTTGGGGGTAGCTTTAAAGATAACACAACCATCGTCTTCCCAACCCCTCGCTAACCCTCCTAGCATTTACAAACGGATTATATAAAGCCTACTTACAGTCACTCTTCTGATTAAATAAATAAAAGATGAGAACAACTTACTCAACAGTTTCTGTCATAACTACACTCGACATGGATTTTAGAGATATTTATTAAGGATTAAGATAAATAGATAGATAGATAGACAGATGTCGCTTAAAAGTAGTGATGGGTAGTTCGCGAACGAACTAGTTCAGGAAAAAGGAACTGTGTACTACAGTTTTTCGTGAACTATAGTTTCTGTGAACTACCACAAAAATAAAATTAGAGGAATTTTAGGTGTTTTCATTTAAGAAATTTAAAGAAAAGGCCAATGCCTACGGTCCTTACAGTGAAATAGGGATTGAAAAAAGGATTTGATTTCCTTGAAAATAATTTTTGATTATTGTATTTTTAATATTAGGTACATACCAGACTGAAACGACAAGAAACCGCTCGACGTTTCCAATTACTTCAACACTTACTAGACAAACGCTCTAAAGTTCCAATTAATTACAAAAGATTCATATACATGACTATAATAAGGCTTATTTGGTGGACTTAGGGAGTTGAGCTATGGAGTTCCACTAAACCATCGAATTCCTCTCGTATCCAATCCTTACAATCCAGAATCCTTTGCAAAATCCTCAACGCTCCTTACTTTGTTACAAATAAAACCGTCCATAATGACCTTAATGTTGCTTATGTTTCAGATCTGGCCTAATCCAGATAACTATCCTTCCATAATAAACTTCAGAATCATCCCAACCCTCTCGTTTCTAACCTTGCTTCCTCTTCAATTCCTGATGACCCTCCGAGGCGTCGAAAAGAGATGGCCCGTGATCTCCTAATGTAGACATATCATTAAGGTGCTACCATTGGGCAGTTACTTAACAAGTATTTTTACGTCATTATAACCATATGTTCAAATTTACTAAATGTATTTCTTTAGTTGTAAATATCATTAAGAAATAATAATAATAAAAAAAATATTAGGTAATTTAAAATACTAAAACAGAAGTCATAAACAGACTATTTTTGAAATATATTAATATTTCAAAGGATGAAGACAGAAATGCTCCGTTCTTATATTTTTTAAAACTCTGAAAATACACTAAAATTAGGCAATTAATTATGAATTTTATTAAAAAATATCAATCAGAAGTAAATTATACAGATTGTTATTACTTAAAATATATTTGAATTGAAGTAGATGACCTCACTCATCTAGTACCATCCGTGTTACAATAGATGGCGCCAGTTGTAGCTCATTTGAACTAGCTAGTTCACAGTTCACCTAGGAATCCGAAGACCTAAAGTAATTAATTTAGTTTTCTAGTAGGATGAACTAGTTCAGAAGATTGAAACCTCTCTCTTTCTAGTTCAATAGGTCTCCAGTTTAAATTTAATTTAGCATGGTTTGAGCTTCATATCATTCTTCTTACTAGAAACAACTAATTATTATTAACAACTAATTATTTTCTGGCCATGTTAGGCTATTATAAAATGTTTTAAATTGCATTTAAAAAAAAAAATTAGCATTACCTTATTAACACATTCAAAAACCGAAACAAAGGATATAACCATTGCAGCAGAACGTATAAAAAAAAAAACTAGAGACCATATCTTATCTCCTAATTATCCGATTTTAACGATTTTTTTTTTTTTTGTTTTTTAGGCTATTCCATAAACTTTTAGAAAACCATCTCTATCATATCTCTACCATATCTCTACTAATAGTGCTTCGGTTTCTATGAAACTTCTTTCATTTTTTATGAAATTTAAAAACCTTTGAAACATCTTATCACAACATTCCCAAAAAAGTGTATACTTTTTGAGTTATTCGAAATTTAATTTTACCATCCCTCGTAACTTTTTTCAGCTTCTTTTCGCTGATGAATGTAATATAGATAAATTTGAAGGGTGTCGAGAAAATGATTTTAGCGAAGTTTCAATGAAATTGGTACATTCGTTTAGGCGCTACAGTCTATAGCTACGTTTTTCTGCATTTTTATTTTTTTTCTCCTTTATTAACTCATCAAATTCTTTCAAAAGTTATATTTAGCATTTTTTCGTAATTCTGAATAATGCGAAATAATTATCTTTTTAAAATAAACCATATTAAAGGTACTTTAGGGGAAGACGTATATGAACATTGGCCATTTAAGCCCTGTAAAGTGACTTAATTGATATTAAATACACACAGACCATTTGTCGGGACTTGGTCATTTCGACTCAGGGTACCTCAAAACGTATAAATCCGTCGAAAACTCAGATTCAAAAATTTTCTCTATCGCAATACTTACACTGTAAAACATAAACAAAATTTGACTGCGTCCTGACTATTTATCACCCATGATATGCAGAACATTCGACCAGCTTCCTTCAATAGTTAATGTTTTTGTTCTTGCTTTTCTTGTACAGCCTTTCCCTCAAAGGAGAGTTCGTGAGTAGTCCCCTGGGCCACTAGCCCAATTGGGAAGAAGAGTTTGCGAGTTCCGACCACTTCTTCTTGACATACCTGCCTCCAGTCCTCCAGCAGGGTGGTCCCACCACCAACTTGAATACATCCCTCAACTTCTTCACTCGTGGGCCTCTTTTCCTTTTTAGGTTACACGGCACTGTGAAGAAAGTAGAGTAATTACGACGTTCCATTTGTGTACAGAGACCATTCAGAGCTCGGGGTGGATTATATCGGAGTTCTGTTTAGGTACGTCCAAATCAATTCTAACAAAAGTCGAAAAAATTGACATTACCTCATTAAAAAAAATGAGAGTCTACAAGTCGGATCATGCTAACTGAAGAAGTCGCGGCTGATTTAAAGAATAATATGCCAGTAACTTGAGAATCGAAACGTGAAATTTATTTTGAAAAATGTGAAAAAAGTTTTTTTTTTTAAACTTTATTTTTTAATCATGTAAGAAACCAAATTATTCTATTATTGAGGATGGAGATGTTCCGGAGTGGGGGACATAAAAAGACTGAAATAGTGAAAAAAATATTTTATTTCAAGCCAACGTTTCGACCCGACTTAGCAGGTCTTCTTCGGGGCTAAAAAGAACAACATACATAGGAAAAGTTGAGTATAAATCGTATAGAAGTATTAAGAACAATCAATTATATAAATGGAGTAAATGAAATATAATAAATAAGCAATCAGAGTACATAAATGCATACATAAATGCAGAGTACATAAATACCATTTATGTACATAAAGTACATAAATGGTAAAAATTACTGTAATAAGGAGGATGGGGGATTTATTTTGAGTTTGCATTGTACTTCTATCTATAATTTCTTAATTCGATCTTGTGTGTATATGTATATATTTATAATTAATTAGTTCATACATACTGGGAGGGAGCGGGGTGGTCGAATCGGCTAAAGCGTGTGCACAGCACCGCGATTTGCCCGGCAACCATAGCCCTGGAGCCAGGACCCAAAAATCGACCTGATCGCAGGCAAAAGTTTGATTGTAAATTACGAAAGTGTATGTTATTCTGAGTAAAAAAAACCTTGTCTGCCGTTCCAGAGCCGCTGCTTTCAAAAATGGCGGCTGATTTAAAGAATATTAGACCAGTAATTTGAGGATCGAAACGGGATATCGATTGCGAAAAATATGAGAAAAGTTTTTATTTTTTTAACTTGTATATATGGGTTTAGACATGCAAAAAACAAAATTACTAACGCGGGCCACCAAGGGAAAACTTTTTACAGCCAAAAAAGTCAGATTTATTGGGAGTTTTTCACCTATTAATTAAAGAACGTTAAATTTTGCGTCAAACGAGTACATAAACTTTACAATTTGGTTACGCGGTAAGGTATAAAACCACGGTCAACCAAAGCTGAACTTGACCAAATTTGTCAAAAACTGAGACAAATTACTATAAATGGCCCTGTAACTTGGAAATGAGTTCCCTAAGAGGAAAAACTCATTGAATCAAAGTTGTAGAGCATCAAATTTTGCGTCCATTGAGTACTGAAATTTTTATTTTAGGCCAATTATATATCTTGAATCGGGATTCGTTAGTCCTTTATAAAATTCGGAATCTTTCGGCACATCGTTTACCAAAATCTTTTGCTGTTGAGAGGTGGAAAAGAAGCTTATACTGCATGTAACAGACTTTAAACAAAACTAACTCAGTAGAAAAGACACCCATACTGTTGAAATATTCAAAATCAGGTTTACCTTCATTACCAATTTCTATCCATCGATAGATTACCGATTTTTTTTCGCAGCCAGGGCTCTACATTAAATTAGTTGGTACTCACTAGACGAAAAATATGATGCTCTACAACTTTGATTCTATGGGTTCTTCCACTTAGAGAACTCATTTCCAAGTTACAGGACCATTTATGGTAATTTTTCTCAGTTTTTGACAAATTTGGTAAAATTCAGCGTTGGTTGACCGTTGGATACCTTACCGCGTAACCAAATTTTAAAGTTTATGTACTTGTTTGACGCAAAATTTAACGTTCTTTAATTTGTTAAAGAAAACAATTTTTTGTTTTGAAGCATTGTTTAGGAGTTATAGGTGAAAAACTCCCAAAAAATCTGACTTTTTTGGCTGTAAAAAGTTTTCCCTTGGTGGCCCGCGTTAGCAATTTTGTTTTTTACATGTCTAAACCCATATATACAAGTTAAAAAAATAGAAACTTTTCTCACATATTTTGCAATGGATATCCCGTTTCGATCATCAAATTATTGGCCTAATATATTTTAAGGCAGCCGCCATTTTTGAAAGCAGCGGCTCTGGAACTGCAGACAATTTTTTTTTTTACTCAGAATAACATACACTTTCGTAATTTACAATCAAACCTTCGCCTGCGATCAGGTCGATTTTTGGGCCCTTTGGGAAGTTTTGAGAGACAAAAATAAGTACGAGTTCGCATCCCGGTGTCGGAGGGGATTTTAAAATTCCCCGCCCTCACCCTCCTGCCCGGGGAAATCCCGTTTAGCCTAAACGGCGAGGTAGGGAAGAACAAAAAAAAAAGAAAAAAAAAAAGAAAGTTCATACATACTGCATTTTTTTTGTATTCATATCAACATCTTCAAATTTTAGATATTGTAATATTTCTGCTTTTTGTTTTACTATTTACCCTAACCATGCCAGTTATTTTCTCCAGTTTCAAATGAAATCTCCATTCTGCATACACACGTAAGATTATATTTTATTTTATTTTTTTCTTTATTATTTAATTTTTCTTCACTCTCTCTTTATGACCATTCATAATTACGTATATTATCTATTCTCCATATTACATTCAATTTTCCCTATCTATATTTACTTCAATTTAGGGGGTCTGGTTAGTAAGTTTTACTTCGTTAACTCTGCTTGTATAGGTTATAGTTCCTAATATTTCAATGCACTCTCTACTCACACTATTTATAATTTTTATCTAAATATCATGTAATATCTATATTTTTCTTTTGTATCTTGTTCTAGCCCTGAAGACTTGCAAATTGGAGTCGAAATGTTGGCATGCAATAACCAACACTCGGATCATTTATATTCACTTTTAAATTACTTAAGACAACAAATAAATAAGTTTATACGACTTCTGCACTACGAAATTATCTGAAATTACTAAGACTAGTTTAACAAAATATACGTTTAGGAAACGATATACCATAAAACACAACTGAATAACGGAAAAAAACTTAATAGATTAAACAGTTGTAAAATCACCACGAGGTTAAGATTGGGGCGTAACTAGATCTTTAAGGTCGCCACGATATCGAACGAGCAAAGAGACAATCGGGCTAGTTCGCGAATGACCAAGTCAAAGCAACAAGTGAGAATATGAACATATAGAAATGTGTCCAATCAGCTTAATTATATAGCGTGTAAAAATATTCATAAATCAGAGGTTATTTCTTTCCTCTTTGTCGTCTATGATAGTCGATTTATTCAGATAGCAGAGAGAGAGTCGTGTGTGGAGATATTCCAAACATATTTTATTTATAACTATGTGGGTTGTGCAAATTATTTCACAATGGATTATTATTTCCAAACAACTATACATCTAAAGTAACATTACCTTCCTAGTTACAAAGAAAAATAAATAAAAGGTGATTCCAATTATTGGACTAAACTTTTTTTTTTTAATCATGTAATATGCTAAAAAAAAAACATCACTACAGTAAAACATTCAAAATTTAAAAACCAAACAAAGGATATAACATTTGGAGTAGAACATAAAAAAATGGAGACCATATCTCTGCTCCTAATTGTCCGATTTCAAAGATTTTTTTTTTTTTTTATAAAATTCCATAAACTTTAAAACAACTATATCAATATCGACAAAAAAAATGTATAGTTTTTGAGTTATTCGGAATTAAATTTTACCATCCCTCGTAACTTTTTTTCCAGCTTATTATCGTAGAAGTATGTTATGTAGGTAAATTTAATGGGCGTCAAGAAACTGACTTTAGCGAACTTTCATTGATATCGGTACATTCTAAAATCGGTTCAGTAGTTTCAGAGAAAATGTGCGGACAGCGGACGGACAGCAAATATTTTATTCGTTTTTCAAATTCTACTTATCCTCCAAAACCTTTAATTTTGAGGGAAGGTTAAGTTTTTGAATATTTTGTTCGATTACATTGCTTCATTACTAAAAATAATTAAAAATCGCGATATCTTTACTAATGGTGCTGTGATTTCAATGAAACTTTCTTTATTTTTTAGGAAATTTAAATACCTTTGAAACATCGTAATATCCACAAAAAAGTGTATACTTTTTAAGTTATTCGAAATCTAATTTTACTACCCCTCGTAACTTTTTATCCAGCTTCTTTTCGTTGAAGTATGTTAGATTAATTTAAAGGGCACCGAGAAGAAGACTTTAGCGAACTTTCATTGAATTCGTTTAAGCACTACAGTCCACAGCAACGCAAGTTTTTCGGTCGCCATTTTGAAAGTAAAAGGCGGATAGTAATGTAGGAGGATCATCCTCGGCTGACCTCTGATTTTATATTCGAATTCGAAAAAAATCAGTCCAGTAGTTCCAGAGAAAATGCGAGGACGGCGGACGGACAAAAAAATTTTTATTCGTTTTTCGAATTCTACGCATCCTGAAACGTAAAACCTCAAATTTTGAGGTTAGTTTTTGAATTTTTTGGTCGATCACAATGGTTGATTAAAAATAATAAATCAAAAGGAAAGTACGACTACATTAGTGGAGCTTAGCTGTTCATGAATTTTTTTCTGGTTATAAAAATCACATACTTAATTTTTCTACCAATTCAAACTCATTCTATTTTAAATTTATTTTAGCAAATCCTTCGCGATTTCTGTTGAGACATACAGTCCTTGATACAGACATCTTTTTATCAAATTATTAACACCTGCCTGAAACATTTTAAATATCTTCATCTCACTGTAACCTAAAAATATCAGATTTACAAAAATTCTCAGAATTGGGGCTTTTTCAATCTGAAGACGCGTAAACTTTGTCTATTTAATCAGCTACTAAAAACTCAAGAATAACCATTTGTGCTTTATAATCCCGTTGGAGGCCACGCCAAACGGACCAATAGGCAAACTTTTTTTTTTTTTTTTTTTTTTTCTCTATTTTGTGATCATATCATAGAATAGCTGCGTAAGATTTTATATTGGTGCCCCGAGATATTCCCATGTCTCTCACCACTACACTGTGTTAAAGTGGCTCTTCCCCTCCATTCGAAGACAATATTTCCTAGGTAAATTCCTTTATCAAATCATCAACAATCATCGTCCTTCTTACGCCGACAACCTTCTCCAATTCAAGTCCTCAGTCCATTCCCTATCAACAAGATCTCGATCTTCTGACCTTTACATCCCTTCTACGGATATGCCTCATTTCAAAACTCCTTTATTGCTCGCACTGTCAATTTCTGGAATTCTCTTCCTATCAAAATTCGACATTCCCCCTCCATATCCACATTCAAAACCTCCTATTCCAATTCCTATCCCAAAAACAGTCAGATGCTTGCTAAGCTTTTGATATTATTAATTTATGTTATACTAATTTACCTCTCCATTGCTCCCTCTGAATGGCATGATGCGTTTGCCAAAATACAAGAAGACCTACATCGGATTTGTGCCTGGGCAAGTGAAAATGGATTAAGGTTAAACGCTGCTAAAACCCAAGCCATTGTCATTGGTTACAAACCCCTTCTCAGATCAAATACCAACATTCCTCTCCTGTACCTGAATGACCAACCCATCACCTTCAACACTTCAGTTAAAAACTTAGGTGTTATCATAGATCAAACCCTCTCCTGGAATCACCATATTTCCCTCATATCCCGACGTTCAATTTCAATCCTGAAACTCTTCCATCGCTTCCGCCATCTCCTACTCATATCCACACGTAGACTCCTAGTATCCACCCTCATCTTCCCCCACATTGACTACGGCTGCGTAGTGTACGGTGGCCTCTCATCGGAACTAGGAGTCAGACTGAAAAGAATAATGAATGGCTTAGTACGATTTGTCAATGGGACCCCGAGACGTTCTCATGTTTCCCACTACTACGCCGAGTCAGGGTGGCTCTTTCCCTCCTTCAGAAAACAGTACTTCCAAGGTACATTCCTTTACCAAATAATCTATAATCATCGTCCGTCCTACGCATTCAATCTCCTTCAATTCAAGTCATCTATCCACTCCCTCTCCACAAGATCTCGTCCTTCTGACCTTTATACCCCTTTCCACAAATCGGCCTCATTACAACACTCCTTTATTGTCCGATCCACCACTTTTTGGAATTCCATCCCACTTAAAATCCGCCATGCACCATCCTCATTTAAAACCCTCCTTTTCCAATTCCTCCTTACAATTCAATCAGACGCTGGGTAGCCTATTATTGTATTATTATACTATTATTGTATTATATATATATATATATATATATATATATATATATATATTAATGTATATATTGTATATATACTATTGTACTATTATTGTATTCATAGAACATACTATTATTGATATAACATCTTTATTATTATTATTTTCATTAATACAATGGCATGATAACAAAAGTTATTTTTCGCTCATTTATAATTTCATAGCGTATTGTGTATAGTAACTATTTTGCAGTATTAGGACCTTATTGCTCATATTAAGCCTTCCTATATCTGTGCAGTTATGTAAATACTTCTTTTATCCCTTATTTTTTTAGTTTTTTTTTTGTTTGTTTGTTTGTTTTTGTTTATTGTAATATACATTTTGGCCAGATGTAATGTTAATTTCATGTACAATATTGTTATTCTCAAGGGACGTAGTCCCAGAATAAAGTTGATTCTTCTATTCTATTCTATTCTATCATTCATCGTCAAATGATAGTACTATTCTATACTGTAAACTTCACTAGGGATTTTACAATATCTTCCTACTATCAATGCCACGGAATGCATCTGTTGTTTGTTTTTTTTAATTATTTTTCATTCTTTTACAACTAAATCTGTAACTATAGTTACAATAACATAATGATATGTTTACATATTATTCATTAATTAAATACTCTGACATTTTATATGGTTAGATTCGTCTTTCCCTTTGTTAGCAGAAACACTGAGCGTATTTTAAAGAAGAACTCATTGATTTTTTTTCTCAAAAGTGTATAATTATAAGTTTCTCTACTGTACATAGTTTTAAGTGACGTCATAGTTTCACGTGTTTTGTATAAAGATTTTGTTTTTTTGTATATAGCTTGTTTAACTAATATTTTCTTTACTTTCTCTTTTTTTTATTATTGTTTTATTTAGGCCAGATGTAGTATTTTAATTATGTACTATTTTGTTATTTTAAAAGGACTTTGTCCCAGAATAAAGTTATTTTCTATTTCTATTATCATAAGATTCAAGTGGAGAGAGAACACAAAACATAGTTTGCGGATCTCCAGCCTGAAAACGCACCAATTCTGAGAATTTCGGTAAATAAAATATTTATAGGTTACGATGAGATGAAGCTATTTACGAAGATTCGGGCAGATATTAATAATTTGATAAAAAGGGGACTGTACTACGGATTATATTTCTTAACAGACTTACATCATCGTTATATTAAGTTGAATAAGAATAGTGAAAATCAAAAATAGTCTAATTAAAATATATTTTAGTTATTTATAATTTATAGTTTAAGTAGAACGCCAAAGTTATGATTAGATGCAAGAAGAAATTACGACTGAGGAACTGTGAGTAAATTAAAACAAATGAATTACGACTTTGGAATGGCCTTGCATTGTCCCATATTCTATGTTAATAAAGCAGTGGCGTTTATATTTGTATACATTTCTAATACTAATTTAAACAAGTTTTAAGCGTACCCACCACAGTCAGTCAAGAATGACAAGAATCGCTTCAATCACGAAGGACTTAACGTGTATCAGTAAGAATGAAGTCGTTTTAGCACAGTTGACGTTGAGATAACAGGCAGTGTGGATCCGATATATTAATAATCTTTTTCATTAAATATAAGTTAATTTGGTCTTTTGATTTTAGGATTTTTGTAACACGATCAAACCTAATATTAATTATAATATCAGAATTTAATCCGTAAGATAATAGGATCTATATGGAACCAGAACCTTGACATATGAAGGAGAAAGAACAATAAAGAACGGCTGAAAAAAACGGGTCAATCAATATTGTTACATGAAGGCAACGAGGTTATGATAGGCGGGGCATTTAGCTCGTAGCAATCCATCAGGAAGCCTTTACACAACAATGAATGCCAAAGTAGTAGGCAAGAGAGCACTAATTTAAAAACTAATGTAATCTTTCCGTAGTCATATATTTACTCTCTACCTCATTACACATCAGAGAGAAGACTTAATACATAGTTGTAATTACAATCTTATTTTACAAGATGATCTAACATTACATAATTTCTGATGGTTATATATTTACAATATTATTTTTATATAAAAACTACATAACCGTGTTATTATCTGAGAAAGAAAATCGTGCGCCATTATCAGCGAAGATATATATTACAGCTAGAGAACCCTAAAGGGTGGTGTCATATTGGCGAACTAAGATCGATACTAACACATGCTATCGAATTACCCCACGGCCTCCTGTATCCTCCAATAACCTCCCTTCCCCCATTCTCCAAAACCAGATCAGGTAACTCCTTATTAGCTAGGGTATTCCTGACGAGAGGCTAAAATGCAATTTCTATAATAGGCGAGGTTCGGGCCAATTTCGAGGTATAAAAGACAATATCAAAAAGGTACAATTAAAATAAGTAAATTACAGAATCATACAAATGGGGTTATCATGTTTAAATAAAGTTCAAACTAGCTGGCCCGTACGAATATTTCGCAGACAATTTTGTTTAATGGAGGAATAGCAAAACAATATGGAAATAAGTAGATCTTTCGACACATTGTTTACCAAAATACTTTGATGTGGAGAGATGGAAAAGAGACTTATATGTTGCCCAAATGCGAGACCGAGACGAGTCTTGGTCTTGCAAACTCAGTCTTGGTCATGGTCTTGGTCTTGCGCAAGAGTCTCGCAACGGTCTTGCAGTTACTTATTAGCTAATTACAATACAGATATTACTGTAATTTGTTAGATAGGAGGCACCTAATTAAGCGCAAATGAAAAAATAGAGGAGTTAAATGCAAAAAGTATATTGATTATACCAATTCTCTACTAACAGTAACTAAATTTATCAAATATTAGTGACTATTTTGCCTTAATTTTTATTCAAAAAATCGATTTTTTTTTACCAATCGCGGTCTTGGTCTTGCAACAGTTAGGCGGCCTTGGTCTTAGGCAACACTACTTATACTGCATGTGACAGACTCTAAACTATGTATTATATGCGAGGAAGAAATTAATTGTTTTTCCTTGGTCGATTACAATATTCCATTTAACAAAATAGACCAAAATATTAGTACAAATAGCTTTGCGAGGGGCTATTTATAAAGGTTGACTGGAAAGGTAATATTCAAAACTAACAATAGGCTGTGCGAAAAATTCGCACAGCATATTGTTATCAAATGCCAAATTAATAAGAAAATAAGAAAATGCAACTTATCAAAAGATTAAGACATCAAATGTTACTTTATCGATAAATATAATCGACAAAGAAAACAAAAATTAATTTAAATCTGCATTTTTGTTTGGAACCAACATGTATACAAATTTCAGTAAGCTGTATATTTGCTAAAAATTGTCCGATTGCGATGATTTTTTTTTATTTTGTAGGGAATTTAGTAACCTTTTATATAATTATGGGCATAACCGTGTGTAATTTTTCAGTTATTCGCAAATAAAGTTTATTTTCTTTCATAACTTGTTTGCCTGAATTTTCTGGGTGATTGGACTATTTTGCCAGCCTGAAGGAGAAGGAAGCCTTTGAAATTGGTGGCTCAATCTTGAGATTAGGTTAAAAATTAACAATGATATGGCTTGCCGATCAAAAACACCATCGATGAATAATATAAACTCCTCCTCTCTCGATCATAGAGATCTCAAGTCGACGAAATGAGACATGTATTCAATGACAGTACTACAATTAATGTAAGGTTGTATGGATGCGAACCCTATGCCTTGCGTTATCTCGAAAATAGTACGTTTTTAGGATTAAAAACGCAGGATCCGATAGTTCCGAAGGAACTATCCGGGTCTTGCTGTACGCATCAAAATCTTCAAGATCCAATTTGTCCCGTATCGATCTACAGACCTACCACCGTTCCAGTATCGAAGCCTAGCAAAATGTTTGTATCGACTTTATTTATTTTAGAAAGAAAAATAAAAGTGGAGAATACGATTCGCTAACCCCCCGTGGAATTCTGAATCCAACGGTACCCCATTCGTGGTATTTGAGCATGACAGGAGCTTATATTTGGTACAAAACCGATTTCGAGCCTTACTGTAATAATCTATGTACGGATGAAGCCTCCGTCATAGTATTTTTAAAAAATATACAATGTACGAATAAATGCCTTTAAGAAATAACAAAGAATATATCAGCCAAGAAAAAAAAATATAGTAAAATATTAAATGCAGTATCTTTAAAAGAAATTATTAAGTATACCAAATCTAATGGACTGTATTTTTATTCACAATTGTCCGATTTTTTAATTTTTTTTTTTAATTTGTGGGTAATTTATTAGTCTTTTTAATAATAGTAGATACAATTAATAAAAAAATGCATACTTTTTGAGTTATCCGCAAATAATGTTTCCGTTCATTTAGAACTTATATCCTAGAAATTTAAGGGAGATATGACTATTTTCGCATTAAAAAGATCTTCAAAATGAGGTCTCAATCATTGGATTTGATGAAGAATTGACGAAGTTATAGCATACTGACCAAAAAAAAAATTGTTTAAAATAAATCCGGTTGGCAAATAAGTCCTATCGGTTTTTCTGTTTATTTTATGTCACTATCGATACACTTCTTATCTGATGAATTAATCCCTAATGTAGAGTTTTTTATCCTGTTTGTAATATGTCAGCAACTATGTGTATTAACTCTTGTTGAAACTAGCTTATTATTTTGTTGTCATATTTTCATCCATACCTGTCATGAGCTTGACAATAACCAGATGTGCTGTGACTAACAAGAAAAAATGGCATTTTTAAGCATGAGGAAAAATATAGTACCCAGCAGCACTTCTTCCTGGTCTTAATTTATTTCCTTAATTCAGGAAAGGAGATCTCTCATCCAGCTCCTCTTTAGTCGTCTCCTGATAGGCATGTCAGCTGTGGCCATGTCGTTAATAAATTCAGTGTTATGTCCGTATAGCTTAAGTTTTGTTGTTTACGTACCAGCGAGCTCCTGTTATAAGTCGTAAAATTTTGGATTGAAATGCCTGTAGTTTTTGTTTTTGGATTGAAATGCCTGTAGTTTTTGTAAGTGTGTCTTTTTTGCAGAACCGTAAATTCGTGAGGCGTATGTCCATATGGGTTTCAGTAGGTAAATATATGTATTGAGTTTTTGTCTGATTTTCAATTTTGATTTGGAAACTAGCTTAGAATAGTGTTTTCTATTGCACTGTGGAAGAAAATATCATTCATCATCGCCATATTTTGTCGTATTGTTTTAAAAAAGGTAAGCGTCCTGCAGAAGCTCATACAAAAATTTGCAGTGTTTATGGTGATGAAAACTTAACCGAACGCACCTATCAAAATTGGTTTGCCAAATTTCATTCAGGAAATTTTGACATCAATCAACGATCTGGTCGCCCACATAAAATTGAAACGAGCAATGTTAAGGCCATTGTAGATCAAAATCCCACCCAATCACTGAGAGAGGTTGTTTCCAAGCTTTATATTTGGGTCAATCTATCACTTTCTAACCGAAGTCAACTTTGTAACACGCATTTCTATTTGTGATTCACTACGGAAACAACAAAAAAAAAACACCCATTTTTGAAAAGGTTGGTAACAGGAGATGAAAAATAGATATTTTACGATAATGTAGTCCGTAGAAAATATGATGGGATTTCAAGGGTGTTATTTTCTATGAGCTATTGCCATCAGGACAAACAATTGATTCAACTCTATACTTCTCAGAATTAACGAAATTGAATCAATCAATTAAAAATAAACGCCCAGAACTGGCAAATCGGAAGGGTGTTGTGTTCCACCAAGACAACGCTAGGCCCATACCTCATTGGTCACTCGCAATAAATTATTGAGCCTTGGATGGGACCTTTTGCCCCACCCTTCCTATTCATCAGACCTAGCTCCAAGTGACTACCACATATTCCGTTCTCTGCAGAACTCCGTGAATTTAATGAAATTCCAAAAGGAAGAGGACATAAAAAACCACTTGGATCAGTTTTTTAACAAACAATTCCAGACATTCTATGAACATGGCATTGTGCAGTTAGTGGAAAGATGGGAAAAAGTCATATTAAATAATGGTCAATATATTGTAGATTAAAATAAATTTTATGTCTATAATACATTGAGTTTTATTTCACCATGAAAAACCGAAAGGGCTTATTCGCCAATATAAAGATAAAGAATCTAGAAATTTTCATGAATATAATACCTATGTAAAAATGTGTTTTCTCTTATTTCTCCAATTTAGACCCAATGACCTACTAATTCACCAAAATGATTACCCTAAACGTTATTTAAATCTATTCTTAATTATCGGTTCCAAAAACTTAATAGAATGCATATGAAAGAAAAATGACCGGTAAAGAAAACTGCTTGAATACGAGAAACAAGGAAAATGCTCACTTACTTATACAGAGCTGAAGAAAACGGTTTTCCTCTATTCTTTGCCAGCCGCGAGAAAGGTAGGAAAATTGTTTTACCCAAACTGAGTTTATTTGAGAGGGAGTGAGAATACATCAACGCTCCCGTTATATCCCGTCTGAATACAAAACTCCTACCAGCGAACAAACATTCTCTATATTATATTATAGTGATAGAGATATATTATATTATACTTATAGAGATGTATTATGTACTGTATAATATATAATATGAAATTTACCTTCCACTGTTGAGTCCTATCTCCTTCCTAAGCCTCATCTCAGTCGAGCAGTCGTCGTTCCTGGTCCATAGCACCTGAGCACAAAAGGATAACATTAGTATAAATATTCGAAATAATGACGAATAATATTATACACGTTGTTCTGTAAGCAGAAGGAAATATAAATAATCCATGAGAGCCCGTGGAAAACAAAGTGCCATATTACATAGAATAGAATACAATAGCAAATGATTTTATTCTGGGACGAAGTCCCTTTAGAAAATCAAGTAGAATAAGTACAAAATTAAAATATTATATCTGGCCTTAGTAAAAACAAATATAAAAAGTTTTTACTTTATTAAATATTTATTATAAAAAGTAAAAATAAAGAAAAAAAAGTAAAGAAAATATTAGTTAAACATACTATATACAAAATAAAAAAAATCTATATACAAAACACTTGAAACCATGCCAAAACATTTAAAACTATGTACAGTAACATATAAGTATACACTTATAAAAAAAATAATTAAAAAATACATTACATTCTTCTTAGCAATAAACTCTTGTGTTTCTGCATAAAAAAAAAATAAATAAAAGAAGACGAATCTGATAGTAAGTATTTAAATGATGAATTATATGTAACTATATCATTATGTGAATCATTTTGAATAATATGTAAATTTACATAGAAGGTTAGCGGGGGATATCTGACTGTTTTTGGGATAGAAATTGGAACAGGAGGGTTTTAAATGTAGATAGGGAAGGAGAATGCTGAATTTTGATAGGAAGGTAATTCCAGAAATTAACAGAGCGAGCAATAAAGGAGTTTTGGAACGGAGCAGATCTGTGAGAAGGAATGTAAAGGTCGGAAGGTCGAGATCTTGTGAAAAGGGAGTGGACTGAGGACTTGAATTGGAGAAGGTTGTAGGCGTAAGAAGGACGATGATTGTTGATGATTTGATAGAGGAATGTACCTAGGAAATATTGTCTTCGAATGGAGGAGGAGAGCTACTTTAACACAGTGTAGTGGTGAGACACTAAGCTTTATCCTTATAAATTGAACATATCCACAGGCCTCATGAGAAAAATGCACGTTTGCTAGCATAAAGCCGCTGGAATACAAAATGGTGGACTTGTGAAGATAGTTAGAGACTTTACATAGGTTTTAAGCGTATATAAAGAGGGCTTATATATGTATAAAGCTACCTTTCTTTCTTTAGTCAATTAAACATTTTCAGTCATACAGTTCACAGCAATTAACTAAGAATCAGGAAATAATAGCAAAATTATTATGACAATATCCCGAATAAAAATTTTTATATATCCAAAATCCTTCGTAAAATCCTCAACGCTCCTTACTTTGTCACAAATAAAATCATCCATAAAGACCTTAATGTTCCATATGTTTCCGATTTGGCCCAATCCAGATACCTATCCTTCCATAACAAACTGCAGAACCATCCGAACCCTCTCGTTTCAAACCTTGCTTCCTCCTCGATCCCTGATAACCTCCGAGGCGTCTGAAAAGAAGATGGCCTCGGGACCTTCTAATATAGAACTTTAATTTGATTTCTACCAATGGGTAGTTTCTCTTCATGTTGAACATGTCATGTTACCAATGTCACATTTACTTGTTATATTTTTCATGTAATACAGTTGTAAATTTTATTAAAATAAAAAAAAGAAGTTTATATATTGGCACGAGTTGAAACAAGATCGTTAGGGTCATGCGAATTTTTTTAAAATCTGTAACACTGATCATATAAGTGGCAATTTCGATTAATCGAATTTGATCACCTTGTTTTCAGTTACTGTATATTTCATATAGAGGTAAGTGGAAGTTAAAAATGTAATATTCCATGAATGAATATTAATATATTTCATGAATGAATAATAATATCAAGCCCGTCAGAACAGGCAGGTGGAATTGGACGCGAGAGATGGCGCCTGGTTTACCCTTCCCTTCAGCCCTTCACACTGTCACTTAGCCGGCTTCGAACCTTTGGATATTTTATGGACGACCCTCTCACACCTTTTTTTTAGCTTTGTTCACTGCGAATACAATTGTATACTAGTCTAAAGGAAATAATTTTACAAGTTTAAAATTGTTATACAACTTTTATATAACAATCGAATAAAAAAAAACGCTGCAAATTATTTCACAATGGTCAATTATTTCAAAACAATTATACATCTAAAGTAACATTACCTTCCAAGTTACAAAGAAAAATAAATAAAACGTGATTTCAATTATTGGACTAAAGTTTTTTTTTTTAATCATTAGTAATATGCTAAAAAAACATTACTTCAGTAACACATTCAAAATTCAAAAACCAAAACAAAGGGTATAACCTTTGCAGTAGAACATATTAAAAAAAACTAGAGACCATATCTTTGCTCCTAATTGTCCGATTTTAACGTATTTATTTTAGTTTTTAAGAAATTCCATTAACATTAAAAAAAAAACATAGCAACGCAGGTTTTTCGGTCTCGCCATTTTGTAAGTAAAAGGCGGGTAGTAATATCGATGAAGGAGGATCATCTTCGGGTGAGCTCTGATTTTATAACCTAATTTGAAAAAAAAATCGGTCTAGTAGTTTCAGAGAAAATACGAGGACGTCGGACGGACAAAAAATTTTTTAGTCGTTTTTCGAGTTCTACATACCCTGAAACGTGAAACCTCAAATTTTGAGAGGGGGTTAAGTTTTTGAATTTGTTAGTTGATCACAATGATTCATTATTGAAAATAATAAACCAAAACTAAGGTGCGTGCTTTAGACCACACGATGGAAATGAAAACAACAAAACGTGATTAATAATATAAAATATAAATTATAAATAATAGCTCAGTATAAAGAGAATGAAATGCTGAACATTTCCCTCGCTTACAGTACGCAGGCCAGATTTTTAGTTCCTGAGAGATGTTAATCCATATCTTCATATAATAAAACTAGTTATAATTTGGTTTTCGAAATTATTTTTTCCTTTTCGCCTTTCTAACACGACGTCTCGTTAAGATACAGTTTTGAATAATAGTTCAATTACAAAGAGCATGTAATGATGAACATATATTTTAATCCATATACGAAAACACTAATAACTCGACTCCAGGACACTTTATCGAAGCGTTACACATCGGAGATCTGACGGCTCAATCTAATTCACTCTTCACAAAAAATAAAGGTGGAAACCGCGTCTAAAGAAGTTTTCACAATTTTTTAAAAAAATATTTTCAAATAATAACAAAATTTCAATTCGGCTTTAAGACAATTTTTTTTCACAGTGGATTACAATGTTTCCTTATAGAAACAATAAACCGAGTTCTGAAATAATTAAAAAGCGACGATAAGAAACAACTATGGTGTGTGCTTTAGACCGTACGATAGAAGTGAAAATATCAACAAAGCGAGATTGATAATATGAAATATAAATTGTTTTTTGTTCTAGATTCGCAAAGTAATAACACTTAAACTTATATAATTATATTTGCTTAGTTTATACAATATGTTTATGATAACTAAAATATGTGATGAATACTTTTCATTGAAATCTATATGCTACATTTCCACCAAAACTCCGGTTATTTTTTAAATAAAACTTTTGTTACGTGGGTTAGTAATTTGTCGAAACTCTATGTTGTGTAACAGAAAATTGAATAGAAACACATAAGTTCTTATTTCTTATTCATATGGCTAATAAAAAAAACATCCATATTGACTTAGAATAGAATAGAATAGAAAAATAATTTTACTCTGAGACGAAGTTCCTTTAGAATAACAAAATTAAAGTATTATATCTGGCCTACGTAAACCAAACATAAAAAGTAAACTCAAAGAAAAAAAAAGTTAACAAAATATTAGTTAAACACACTATATACAAAATAAAAAAAATCTGTGTACAAAACACTTGAAACCATGCCAAGACACTTAAAACTATGTACAGTGGTAAAACATAAGTATACACTTGAAAAAAAATAAAAAAATACATTACATTCTTCTTAGCAATAATCTCTGTTTTTCTGCAGAAAAAAAAAGAAAAAGAAGACTTTCTGAAATAAGTTTATAAAATATCTATGGTATTAATATTTTAGATATTTTAGTCAAAATGTTCAAAACAACCGTTGTTATTTGATTTTTTAGCGCTATCGATTTCCTTTTCTGACTCGGTATAACATTAAAATACAATTTTGATTTATAGCTTATTACAAAAAGAATGAACTATAATATGAAATGTAGAACAATTTCCTCGCATACAGTATGCAGATAAGATTTTTATTTTCTGAGATATTTTAATCCATATCTTTAATAAAACTCGTTATTATTTGGTTTTCGAAAATATTTTTTTTCGCATCTCTAACACAGATTTACACATTTGAGCCTGACGGCTCATAGCTCTGATGCTCATAGAGCATCAAATTTTGCGTATACTGGGTATATACTTTTGCGTATGACATTTTTATTGTAGGCCAATTATATATCTCGAATCGGGATTCGTTATTCCTTTATAAAATTCGGTATCTTTCGGCACATCGTTTACCAAAATCTTTTGCTATTGAGAGGTGGAAAAGAGGCTTATACTGCATGTAACAGACTTTAAACAAAACTAACTCAGTAGAATAGACACCCATACTGTTGAAATATTGAAAATCACGTTTACCTTCATTACCAATTTCTAGCCATCGGGAGATTACCGATTTTGTTCGCAGCAAGTGACCTACATTCAATTAGTTGATACTGAGTATACGCGAAATTTGATGCTCTACAACTTTGATTCTATGGATTTTTCCTCTTAGGGAACTCATTTCCAAGTTACAGGGCCATTTATGGTAATTTGTTCCAGTTTTTGGCAAATTTGGTAAAACTCGGAGTTGGTTGACTGTGGTTTTATACCTTACCTCCAAACCAAATTTTAAAGTATATGTACTCGTTTGACGCAAAATTTAACGCTCTTTAATTTATTAAAGAACACATTTTCGCTTTGATGCATTGTTTAGGAGTTATAGATGGAAAACCCAAAAAATATCGAAAAAATCTGACTTTTTTGGCTGTAAAAAGTTTTCCCTTGGTTGCCTGCGTTAGCAATTTTGTTTTCTACATGTCTAAACCCATATATA